TTGTGATAACCGGTCGAGTGGTTTAATGTAAAGAATGAGTCCAAGACAGAAGCGGTTGATCTACAGGGAGATCAATGAAGTCTTCGACAGGTTCTTGTTGTTAATGTATTTGCTGAGGATTTGACGTTATAAGTAGTGTCAGGAGAATGTATTAATGAATTTAGAAGAACTCTTCCAAAAAGTGCGTACTTATTTCTTTTTTAGATGGGATTTTTTGTTTTTTTTATGTAGATAATTATTATACGTCTGAAGTCGGTTCTCATTAATAAATTTATTGCTACGATGTAATTATTTTAATTATAATTATATAAAGGCCATACTACCATGTTAACGGACAAATCTTGAAGTTTTGTACAAGGTAAATACTTAAAAATATATTTGAGTTATTTTACTATTTATATAAAAAAAAAAAAAAAATTTTATTAAAAAAATCTCTTTTTATTAAAATATAAATAGTTATATTTTTTAATTTAACACTCTGTAATTTTAATTATATACGGGTGGGCCCTCTACCGTCGGTTCAATATACGAACGGAATGTGATACAAAATATTTATGGGATTTTGTGGAGAGTTCATGTGGCACATTTTAAATTATTTTGAAGTAGTAACGGTGTGTAGAACTAGATCTACCAAAAGTTTATTTTGATTATGAACACTCCGGTATTTTATTTATTTTTTGGTTTTGGTTTTTTTTTTTTTTTATTTGTATATTTGGTTTTAAATATGTTTTAAATTGGATTTGAGATATTAATATTTAATCTTGTTATATAAGAAGAATGATTATTATGTACATTACTTTTCAGAATTAATTAATATTCATGATTAAAATATTTAAAAAATAAAATTTACTGAAAATTTTTGCAGAATTTATCACGTATTATAGGTCAAATAATGTCAGAATTATTTAATTTTAATAAAATTTGTTATTAAAAAAAAAAACTCTTATTTTTAATAAATCCAATTCAGTCAATGCTCTTTCAACTTATACTAGGGTCTCTAGAGGGCTGTATCGCCATGCAATTTTCTAGTGCCGTAATCAGGTTTCCAAATCGAAATGTGTTTAGACCTTATTTATCCTATACGTACGTTTATAATTAATACAATTGTTTTATAATATATTTATTTATATGATTATATTCTTTCAGGAAAACGAAGTAGTTCTTTGTTTTATTTACGATACTTTAGATATATAATTTTTTATAAAGACAATACGCAAAATCAACTTTCTTACTTTCCAACGGAAGGTTCTGCTTATAGGTTTTAATAACTGTACCATCACGAATTGCTAGGGAATAGGACAGTGTTTTCAAGGAACGCTTTTATAGGAGTTTTTTGGATTCTTTGGCATTTAGCTCTTGAGGCCAAGAAATAATTTTCCCCACAAAATAAAATTACTAGTAACATCCATTCGTTCCACCAGCAGATATGGCATTATTTTTCTTCATAAAATAAAGAATACTTATTATTAAAATATTGTGGGTAAATTTTAGTAAACTGTTTAAATAATAATGTTCATACACTAATGTCAATTTTGAAAACAGTTACTAACTGTCACTAGAAAATTGCCATGGCGATACCAGCCATCTTGAATGCTATTTTATTTAAAAATCGCTTTTTATTCAAAATTTGAGATAGATAAGTATAGGAAGCCCTAATATAGTTTGAAAGAGCATTTGAATCTGCTTCGATTTATTTAAAAAAATACAGGGTGTTGCATTTGATTCTTTACCTTTAAACTCAGCACAAGAATTAATTCTGAAAAGTAATGTACAGGGTGTTAATAATCAATTTTCTTGTACCATGCATATTTAAATATCTTTAAATATTTCAAAAACCAATGATTTTAAACATATTTAACTCTTATAAAAAATACCTTTTTTGGGCCCAAGAATCCAAAAATGAAATAAAATACCGGGTGTTCCATAAGAA